ATACTAAACCAAACTAACCAACGCAGCTCACTAAACACCACAAATCATAAAATAACAGCATGACTAAGAAAAGAAAACCAACGGTACCCAAACCGGATTAACCCAGTTTAAAACTGGATAATTTATTCTTTTGAAGACTATTATAAAGTCTAAGAAAGAAACAATAAAACACAAAAAAGTCGCAAGACAAACCCATACCAAAGACAATTTGATTTTTGAAAAAAGGACACAACCAAAGTAACCTAAGAACGACCAACATAAACCCAACATAAAACGTTATCACATAACAGGACCTCTCAAAGAAACAGCAAGAAATCATACTTCCACTCCTGGCCTAACTCACCAGAGAGGAAGTCCTGAGCATGCTCTATAACCGGCCTAACCCACCGCGCTACATCCACGCTTTGTGACCACATTCCTATTTTTAATAAGAAGTACTCAAGGGTGAGTAACTCTTCAAAATAACCAAATTAAAACAAAACGCTTTTGTGAAAACGACCAACTAAAATCATGATTAAAAAACTGAATTAACATAATTTTATAAAACGTAAATTATACTTTGCAGTATATAGATCATACACAACAACAAAGACGAACATCCAAAAACTAGACGATGCCATCACACTCGAACAAAAGAATGGCTAAACACACCGACATGCCGCCCACAATCACAACTCAAAGGATTTAGAAATCGACTTGACATCGCAGAAAAGGACTTCATTGAACTAGAACAATGACCACCTCGATGTTCAAGTACACGTACAGATCCGAGTTGCAAGGCATCCCTTCCACACACGATCTTCACGCCATTCCCAGACGAGGCTGCAAACAAAACAGTTCTCTACTAATACAGAAAAACCTGACATAGCAAACTATTTTGAAATCGAATTGATTTCATTGGGGATCACAGTCGTTGTCGAATGACAAGATAACAATTTCCTATCCATAATTCCAGCGTCCTGGAGCGTTCTTCTCCAAGAGTAACCGGACAAGAAAATGATGTTCGCCAAATACCAACGTTCATCATCCATCCTTCAAATTGCAGAGAAGAAAGATAGTTCTAAAAACTCTGTAAACCCCGAATGGGTGGAACCTGATCTAAGCTACATTTTATAATTGGATAAATTGGATATTTTACCACTGTAAAATATTTAATATTAACCAATCATAATCCATCTAATTAACAACCCACTTATTTGTAAGTGCTGAAATTACTTGTAATTTCAGCACCAGAGAGATTTGAATTTAACTTAGAAATTAGTTGCCTCTCCAAGAGAAATTCAGCAGTTGCAATAAGCCAGTATACTCTAGATCTATTGAGCCTAGCAGAGACTAGTTAAACACCCTGAGACTAGTAGATATAAGAGTAAGATTAGGATCGGTATTAGACTAAGGAGTTGCACGAATCTATCCGGCGGAAAATAAGATAGCGTGACGAGCAGACGGTGTACCCTATCCGAAATTACTCTGTGAGTTAACCACATCGGTCATAACTCACAAACGCGTTTTGGCCGTCGAAGTGGATTTTTTTTACTGTATTCCCAAGCCTTTTTTTAACTGTTTGAACGCATTTGCAAGACCCATTTGTATCATCTCGTTCATGTTTTGTGTACAAAACGTATCCCCTTCATTTTTGGACGTTTTTTTTATTTAATTTAAAATTTAGAAGAAAAATTATATCAGTAAATGAAACAATAAAAACCGCTCATTTAATTTTCCACAAAAGAGACCTAAAGTCCCCTTTCATATCCCGCTCTTTTCGTTAATGAGTGAAGTCCCTTCATGGTTGCACCAATACCGGGCCATTTATATTATTAAGCTTAACATACAAAAAGAACGTCAGGGAAGCGCCTGACATGGCACAAAAATAGAAAAACCGCTCAATTATTTTTCCACAAAAGAGACCTAAAGTCCCCTTTTATATCCCGCTCTTTTCGCTAATGAGAGAAGTCCCTTCATGGTTGCACCAATACCGGGCCATTTTTATTATTTAGCTTAACATACAAAAAGAACGTCGAGGAAGCGCCTGACATGGCACAAAAATAGAAAAACCGCTCAATTCTTTATCCACAAAAGAGACCTAAAGTCCCCTTTTATATCCCGCTTTTTGCTAATGAGAGAAGTCTTTTCATGATTGCACCAATACCGGGCCATTTTTATTATTTAGCTCAACATATAAAAAGAATGTCGAGGAAGCCCCTGACATGGCACAAAACTAGAAAAACCGCTCAATTATTTTTCCACAAAAGAGACCTAAAGTCCCCTTTCATAACCCGCTTTTTGCTAATGAGAGAAGTCTCTTCATGGTTGCACCAATACCGGGCCATTTTTATTATTTAGCTTAACATACAAAAAGAACGTCGAGGAAGCGCCTGACATGGCACAAAAATAGAAAAAACGCTCAATTATTTTTCCACAAAAGAGACCTAAAGTCCCCTTTTATATCCCGCACTTTTCGCTAATGAGAGAAGTCCCTTCATGGTTGCACCAATACCGGGCCATTTTTATTATTTCGCTTAACATACAAAAAGAACGTCGAGGAAGCGCCTGACATGCCAAAAAAAAAGAGAAAATTTGAAGTAAAATTTTTTTTTAGTTACGAATTGAAACTTAGTGATAATCGAACAAGAGACGTTTGCTCAGACGGAAGTTACAACTTTGTGTGTGATGATTTAAAATTCCCTTTTTTTTACTGAAAAGGGATCAATGAGCATCAATCTTAAATGTCCTTTTTATCTTGAGTCGTGCATTTCGAGAAGTTTTTCTCGGTTGCTCCTCATTTTGCTCAGTTTGAGTTTTTGACTGTTCATTTTTGACTATACTGCGTTTGACTCTTTTACAATTTATTTTAAATTTTTTTGACTATTTACTCAATTTTATTTCAATTAGACAGCTTTCAAACTTAAAAAAAAAATTTAAGTTTGAAGCCACCAAGATTTTAATTTGAAGTAAGTCTCGTAGTTTCACCCTGAGGTATTCATCAACCCAATTCGCTCTTTCACTAATATACCAAATTTGTTTTAAAAACTCGGATTATAAACAAAGATCTACAACTTGCGAATTATTTTCATACGAGAAAAAATTGATCTTCAGTGCTGATTTGAATTAACAGTAACAAGCAAGATTGTAAAACTTAAACTTTAATTGGGTGACGATTAGACAAAATGTGAAGAAAACAAATTTTGGTTGGAGTTTCACCAAAAAGTTTTTCAAAACTCTGAGCCAAACAATATCTCGATGAATCATTTTGGCTAATTTTCACCAAAAAAACTTTCAAAACTCTGAACCGAGAAGATTCTCTGAGTCATTTTGGCTTTCACTAAATAATCACATTATACGCTAAATTACCGGGTTAATTGACGAGAAAGTTATATCATTAGGAGGCTTCTACTCAGTCCAACTGTTTTATAGAAAATACGAGAATCTGGCCGGTCTTCTGGCCGGTAACCATAAAAGGTCACTTCTACTAAACAAAAATCAAAACCTTTGCTTTAAACCAAATTTCAAAAATTTTGAGCACCTTTGAAGATATTTTACCTTTCTATAACTTTGTTGTATTGTGTAAGGGACGTTTGATATATTTTCTTATCAATTAACTCGGTTTCAACGCAATTTTTGATAAACTAAAAATAGTCAAACTGATCCATTTTGAGGGTAAAATTTTTGGTTGGGAATTTCAAAAAATATTTAGTCATTAATAATTTTGGTGAAATTCTTAGCAAACTTTGTTTTGTTCACTTTTTGTCTATACTAAACTAATTTGAGAAAAACGCATTTGAAATTTCAATTTTTTTTTTTTTTTTCGTTTTGTAATGATAAATTAAATCAGCACTGTACTATTTTTTAATTTAAGCCACCTGGTCCAATTGTCAAGCAAGATTTCAAGCAAGATTCATAATTTAATTACGCAAACATTTTTTTTCCTTATATAAAGCCTTGTAGAATTATTGATTAGACCGACAAACATGATGCTTATCTGTTGGGGGAAACAAACGGTAGAAGGGCCAATAGCTCTAACCTCTTCTTCATTCAATTTGACCAGATGGTTTATGAAACATCCCAAACCGTTCAAATAGTAAGAAAGTAATCTTTTTGTAGGCAAAATGCAAAGATTTTATGCTCGATGGCTTTTAAAAGAATTGCAGCTCTTTTTCCTTACAATTTTTTTTACAATTTGCTACCTATTACGTTTCATAAAATGTTACATTTCTTGCTAAAATTTTTTTTTAAAATTTTTTGTCTCACATTAAAATTTATGTTTATATATTATGGTTTGAACGGTGTTATGGGTGGGGGAATTATTTGAGGGCAGAACCCCCCCCCCCCCCCGTTTATCCCCCTCCCGTTTACTTTACCTCCCCCCTCCCTTAATTTACTTTACCCATAACATTTAAAAAAAAAACATGGCATACCTTTTGCAAATTTCCTTAAAAACTTGCAAAAATTCTGCAAAAGTAATCGAATTTAGTTCAAAAAAACTAAATGTATTACAATCGATTATAATGGATTATAATGGATTTTCTTTGCAAAAATAATCGATTACAATGAATTATCTTGGCAAAAATAATCGATTTCATTGCCAAAAAAAAATAGATTATAATCGATAATAATCGATTATTTTGATTATTATCTTTTTAAATAATCGATTATAATGGCAATAAAATGGATTTCGTGTTCTGAAATTTACATCTTCAATGGGTTATAAGGGATTTTTTTTTGTCTCGCGAATCCATTATAATCGATTTGGAAGCTCGGTGCGGGCAAACTAACTAATGTGAACACATTTGTTCTTTATTCTGTACATCGTTAGACCAAGCAGTTAGTCAAATTAAGACACCAGAAACTAAGAAAGAAGAAATTTTTGAAATGAGAGGAAGAGTGAAAAGAACAGCAGATTCCAATGAAAACAAAATATAGCGTTTACTTCAGAACTTTATATAAGACTCAGAACTTTATATCGTTTACTTCAGAACTTTATATATAAATGTTTGAAAACTAACCTTGCTTGATTTTCGTTCAAATTTAGCAGAAAACGCTTCTTTGGTCAGTACAAAATAGAAAAAGCACGTGCAACGTTTTTACGAGTCATTTTGTTTTCGATCTGATAATGCCAAAAAGTTTTTATTCCTTCGAAAAAATCAGTTTATAACTGATTATCGTATGAGGTGGGGAAAGAGAAAAGATCCACGGCTTCTGGTAGTTGTCCCACAAGTAATTGCTATAGCTTATAGTGGGATATAGACGCATTTATCATCAAGAAAAACCCAAAATATATATTTTTTACCGTATAAGACTGCTCGTATCAGGGTAGATGGTGACCGGCAAATGAGGCGACAGCCTTTAAGGCTACAGCAATTTTTGAGGGGACTTTTAGACACAAAATACAGTTCTGACAAAATTAACAACGCAAAATGATTGTTTTAAATACATTTCTGAGAAAAACAAAGCGGAATTTTCTACAATCAAACCCATATTAACCATAATTTCTCGTTTTCTGGTCAAAATGGAGTTCAAGCTCATTCCTTCCAAAAACTGAGGTCGACAAATTATAAGTAAACAATTTTTTCTTCAAGAAAATCAGACAAAAGCAATATCTTTTTATTTTAGATGTTGTATCTCTAATTGTCCCTGAAACTTGTCGTGGGACGGAAACTTATCGGGCCTAAACATGTTTCCTCGGATCATAACCACTTGTCCTCCGAAAAAAAAACAATTACTGGATGACATTGCGAATATTTGTTGTAATTTTGGATGCTAATACCTTTTTGTCGTCTAGATGTTTTGTTGCCTTAATATCCTGTCGCCTTATTTGCCTAGCAACAGGGTTGATACCTGAAAACTCGGCAGTGTTGTCCTTTTTTGTATTATTAAGACCAAATAGCCAGCCTCAATTCATTTTGAATAATTGTTGAATAGGATCAGATCGCCGTAACACTATGAAATATGCTTGAGAAAAAAAAGTAACATAACAAACTTTTTTGCATTTTCTTATAGCTTCTGGGAAAACTTTTAATCATCAGACATTTTCATTCCACAGGTGTAAAAACGGTTACGAAGGTTGAAAAAGTTTTATTGAAAAAGAATTAGTAGATGAGAAAGTTCTGATGTGAAAATTTTGGAAATATGTGACATTTGCCGAGATTTAGAGGACAAAACTAGGTTGTTCGTAATAGTTAATTGTTAGATTGGTTGTTTAGATTCTTGGTTATTTAGATTTAGTTAGTCAGGCTCTGACTAATGGAAATAGGTTTGAACAAAAGTGTTGAATAAAGTTTACATCTAACAAGCGATGAAAAGAACATAAGAGTGATTCACACACAGTGTGTCACTCAGAAGGCCAAACCAGTGACCTTAAATGGACTGGTATAATAAATCTGCAGCATGGCTGCAAAAGGCAATATAACAAATGAGGTACTAAATGTCGCGTCATCACATTCCCCGCGGAGAAGAAAAATTTTTGGAGAAGCCAAAATTTTTTCAATAGTTAAATAAATAAACTGCACCCCAAAGCATTAATATTAGATAGCACCCCTATCCCGTAAAAATGCATGGTGACAAAATATAGTTAAGTACGAAGTTTTGTTGAAAGTTTGAAAGAGAGTTTTAGCCAGATCAATTTTCGTCCTGAGCATTATCCAGCGAAAATGAGAATGGCGCCTCTGGAGGAGTTAAGTGCGAACGGTCCCGAATGAGAGGTCGCCGTTTAGGTGACTGTGACGATGGTTGGGCACTTGTGGTAGGCAATATGTTGGCTTCAATTTCCGGCCACTTTTCCTCTTCTACCCATTTGACAGAGTGGCCCTTTTTTTTCGAGAAATTTTGGGGTCCTTTTGTGGGGTCCTTTTGGGGTCCAAGAAGAATTTTGGGGCCCTTTTGTTTCGAGATGAAGTACGAGTTCCCTCTGAATCATCCGTAGCCATTTGAGCTGGGATAGAGAGAGATGGGAGCGACGATTATGGGTCTGCTTGAGCACTCTTCCCTGGAAGAACAGGACCCTCGGAGTCGACGACGTCAAGTGGTAGCTGATGTGGACCCGGAGCCAAAGTTGTAGGACTGTGAAATAGAGTTGTAGGGACAACAGGCTGAGTGACGGGCGGAAGAGACACACTAGTATCTATTGAAGACTGGCCCGGTGTGAGGAATGAGTTGCCAAACGTGACAGGCAGTGATTGTTATGCAATCGTATTCGTTTCTCCATTGGAGTAGAAATCCGAGTTTCGTGCGAAGCGTGATGGTCGGGAGAATTCTCATTGGACGAATCAACGGTAAGGTCCACCACCGCCGGTAGCGACACGCACGTGTTAGCTGGCCGTTTTTCAAGCAACGTCGGATGAGATGCACGAGTAACAGGTTTCGTCCCTCCACTTTTTGGTGACGTTCCAGAAGATTGAAGAAGACCACCTAGTGTTGCTGAAAAGGTATTATTGAATTTAGGCTTAAGGCAGACATGGTTTTTTCGATAAACTTTTCCCTTGTCAGTAACATAGGTGTGATCGGTGATGCGAGTAATTTTGAATTTCGCAAGCTTAAAAAGAGGTTTGCCAGACTGACGATCTATAATTTTTCTACACACTCTCACACGGTTGGGATCGGATAAAGGAGTTTTTCTAGTTTACTTGTTTTGGACTGCCGACGGGTTTGAAGTGTCGGTAAACGACGAACAGTATCTGGAGCCCCTGGAGGCGTATTAGCTGATCGGTCTTCCGCGAAGCATAGCGTTTTGCGAGAGAGTCCTGTTTTTAATGACTGGGCCAAATCCGAATGGCGACTCGACAGCTCCTGTAGAACCCGCTTTCCCCCATCTGGCGGGAGATTCCTCTTCTGTTGTGTCCAGTTATTAGCCGCCCGGGCGAGATCAGCTAGCGCTTTGTACGGTTCACTCTCAGCAATGTTTCCCTCTAGTGAGAACATTGGGTTGAAGCGCGGAGTAATCTGAGGACTGAGACTGCCTCTTGGCACCACTTTGACACGATCCCGGCTATAGTCCTGACTGGCAATTTGGTCCGGCGTTAAGAGATTGCGTTCGAGTCCTTGTGCTGAAGAATCAGAATTAACTATATTAAGAAAAGCTTGTGACCATTCAGTATTGGGCTTACGTCCGAAGTGCATTTCAAATGGTGACTTCTTAAGTGTAGAATTATTATTTTTACGAATATCTTCTATTATTCGATGAAGTACTTCTTTAAAATTACCGAAATTAGGGTCCAGTTGTTCAGTGCCTAACTTGCGTTTTATGGTCTGTATCATACGTTCAACGAGACCGGAGCCTCGATGGTCTCCGACTGGAGAAAGGATATGTTTGATGCCTTTACTAGAACAAAATTGTTGTACCATGTCGTTTTTAAACCCAGAGCCGTGATCAGTCCTGATAGAATGAGGTAACCCATGAATTCGGATATAAGATTCAAGAAATTTCGTAACCTTTTTAGCCCCAGTAGTTTTAGTAATAAGTACAGAAGGAAATTTCGAGAAGCGATCGATAGCTACTAAGAGGAATATTTTCACGCCTTTGTCATCCAAAATAGGACCAGCAAAATCTAACTGCAACTCCTGATTCGGCCCCGTCAACTGGGGCAAAGATTGTGCGGAATGAAAGTTTTAACGGGCTTTAGGTTGTTACCATACAGTGTGCACTCGCGGCACTTCTGGCAGGTGTCGACTATCTGCCGGTTCAAGAACGGCCACCAAATATACTCCGAGGCTGACATCATGGCCTCTTGGCCAGGGTGCGACCGATGAAGGCGGGCAAGGACGGCTGGTCTCAAAACTTCTGGGATAGCCAGTTTGTTATCGATTATCACACAGTTGTTGACGACCGCTGCCTTGAGCCAAAATTGGGCCATGTAAGATCCGAGTTTGTTAAAACTGGAAACGTCTTTGTTGTTAATAGCTCGTTTCATCGGGCCCAAAAATCGGTCTTCCTCCGTGCGCTCTGCTAGAAGGTCCGCGTCGAATAAGCCTGGTAGCCCCACAATTTCTTTCCTTGACTTTGATAAAATCGATTTTCCGCCATTGATTGCGTACACACCAACTTTATCAGCAAGTTGGATTCTCCCCGGTCTTGATAATCGGCACTTCTTCATAGCTTCCAAAAGCTGGTTGTGTCCCTCCCTTCTAGAGGCAGTTCTAGCGGCCACAAATCGGGTTTTCGCCGCACGCTCTCGTGTCCGATTACGTTGGCGCACTTGGTCCAGACAAGAGATTCGTCCTACTTGACGAGATCTTACTGAAGGGCGCGGGCTCGGCCGACGAAAGTTAGGGGAACTCAAGGTGAAGCTTTCGACAAAAGAGAGAAGTTCTGCTTGATCTTCCATAGAACTGTGTGACGGATGTGATTTAGTAAGGTTAGTTGGTTGAGTTATTGGTTTGTCGTTAGTATGTTGCAGAGCAGAATGTGGTAATGCAGTAGGATGGGAACCAGTAGGATCAGATGGATTCATGTTGTAGTTGATAGATGAATGAGATAAAAGAGATTGATTTGAGTTAGAAAAAGATGAGAAGGAATATTTGCAACTATCTTTGAATAATTCAGGTCGGAGACAATGATTCCAGACAAGCGAATTTGGCTTACGATTATTAATTAGCATACCGGTTTCTGATTGGTCATTTTCATAACAACATGAATTAACGCCCTCACTCGGTGAGAGACCGCACGCGCAAATTTGCATAACGTGATTTGATTGGTCGAGGAAATAGTTTGATTTCAGAGTTTGAGGCACGACGACCTCTTGCGACTGGGAACATATTTTACTAGCCGGATCAAGTATATTGAATGTATTGATAAATGATAAGGCCGAATTAAAAGCCTCAATAGACTTTACCACAAAAAGTTCATCATAAATTGATGGCGCTGGAGCTGAAAAGGTCGGATGTCGAGAAAGGTAGTCCACAATGCCTAACGTAACCCCGGGTACGTGAATAACTTCAAAGTCAAAGGGTAGTAACCGGTCCGCCCAGCGTGAAAGGCGCGACTGATAGGATTTGTTATTATAATTTTCGCTTAGCGCCGAAATGATGGCTTTGTGGTCGGTTAATACTTGAAAACG